CTCATCTTTATCCTGAGGAGTGACTTTGAGATTAGCAAACCAACTCAGAATCCATTATGTTCCTTAAATTAGACTTACCTATCTTTAAAACTGTGTGGAGTCCTGATGTGGCACTGTGGGTTAATCAGCCAGACTGCAAAGTTGTTTGAACTGCAAAGTCAGTGGTTCAAGCTCACCAGATGCTCCTTGGAAACCCTATACAGGGTCACTATTGGTCAGAACTGACTCGACAGCACTTAACAACAACAACAACCACAATCTTTAAATTTGGATTCCTGGTGTGGTGCTGTGGGTTAATGTGCTGGGCTGCAAAGTTACTTTGAACCATAAAGTTGGTGGTTCAAGCTCACCAGTCTCTCCTCAGAAAACCTATACAGGGTCGCTGTGGGTTGGAATTGACTTGATGGCACTTCACAACAACATTTTTTAAATTGGAGTCCTAGTGTGGCTCTGTGGTTTAATGCACTGGACTTCAAAGTTGCTTTTGAAATGCAAAGTCTGCTGTTCAAGTTCCTTGAAAACCCTATACAGGGTCACTATGGATTGGAACCAACTCCACAGCACTCAACAACAGCTGTCTTTAAAATGGATAAATTGACATCTGCTTGTGATGGATTTTCAGTCTTGTTCTTCCTCCCCACTCCATGTTTTATTTTGCTAAAACTCTTTAAAAGTATATTGTTCTATCAACATTACAATCACAGGATCTCAGTCTTGAGTTCCATACATTATATTATGATGTATGTTTGCTACCATCATCAGATCTCTGCTTGTCTTTTACATTGATAGTTTAAAAGCAATTGTAAGGTTACATGTGAAATATGATTTTTATTTTCATGTATGCCTAAATGAATGCTTTCCCCTATCACCTTTTCAAAATATCTGTGGAATTATCTTCACAGCCACTTAATACATTCTCTTATGTTGCAGTCATAGGTTGTTTCCATGACCAATGTGGTGCTGTGGGTTAATGAGCTGGACTGCAAAGTCAGTTTGAACCACAAGGTCGGAGGTTGAATGAAACTCACCAGCTGCTTCTTATTGAGAAATTCTCAAGATGGTCCATCTTTAGGAATAAAGGGCTATTTGCTATACCAGACATAGATTATTGATTCACATCTAGGGATATGTGAGCAGGATGAAATGGGGGGGAGGGGGGAAAGAAATATTTTCTAGGACTAGGAACTTTAAAATAAGAATACACCCATCAAGGAAATAGGGGAAGTTCTTCAGAAAAGGGGGAAACTAACTTTACCTGAAAATGCTCTCAGTAAGAACTAGTAGGCACATTTGGGAGGAGATTGTAAACCCCATAATGCCCAGTAATAGGGGAACTGGAGGAGGGGCTTTTCTGAGAGAGGGGGATAAAACTGTTTGTGGGACAGGCGTGCGAAGTGTCTGCCCGTGTCTAATGGGTTGGGCACCCGATTTTGCAAAATCGAATAAAGAAAACCTCACTCTCACTAAAACGACTACAGATTTGATTATGTGAGTGTTTGTTCATATGGACAACATTTCTCACACTTGGAAACCCTACATAGGGTCGTTATGGGTCAGAACCATCTTGATGGCACTTAACAACAACAACAATCTGTTTGACTTAATTTGGTTACATCCCAACTTCCCCTGGCATTGTTCTTGACTGTAAGCCCAGACAGGGAGGTGAAAACAGAGGACAAGAAGGTGTGGATGATTTCCCATAGCTGTCTTCATGTATCAGTTGTTTGCCTGCTCTATGTGCCTTAGCAGATGATAACTGTGCAGCAGAAGACACAGTCAGAAAAAGTCCAATTCTTGTAGTTCCAGAGGAGCCCCAGATATATATAGGGAAGCCATTTTCCTCCTCACTGCATCATGATGCCCCTCCTGCACTCCAGGCAGTTGCTCTGTACAGTTGTGCAGGCCACACACTGCTCACAGGTGCCACATCATTGAAAACATGGATCTATATGCTTATTAGGACTATTTTTTGCCAAATCAAGTAAAATGTATTGAGGAAAGGGAGCCTTTTTCAGCTTCTGACCAAAATGTCAGATGGCCGAGCAGCAACTTCTGCCTACAGACGCTATACATGTGTGTACGTGATATCACACACAAACACACACATGTATGTACATAAAATACTTCCTTTTGTCTTTGTGCCTAAAAAAAGTCACTTTAAGGTTTTGTCTTAGTTATCTACTGCTCCTATAACAAAAATACCACAAGTGATTGGTTTTAACAAGCAGAAATTTCTTCTCTCACAGTTTAGAAGGTTAGTTGGAATTCAGAATGCTGGCTCTAGGGAAAGGCTTTCCCTTTGTCGGCTCTTGTCTCCTTCAAAATCTGCTGACCCAGTATTCCTTAGAGATCTCCATGTGTCTTGGCATCAATCTTTCCCTGGATATAGGACCTTCACAATGCAGAGACCCCAGGTCCAAAGGATTTGCTACACTTCCGGCTCTTTCTTGGTTGTTCTGATCTCTGCTCATTTCCCTCTCCTTTTATCTCTTGTAAGTAAAGATGTATTGCAGGCTACACCCCCAGTGTAACTCCCTTTACATTGGATCAGCTCTGTGATGGAATTAATATATCCCACCCTTGGAGTTCTAGTGTGGCACTGTGGGTTAATGCGCTGGGCTGCAAGGTCGGTTTGAACCACCAGCCACTACTTGAAAACCCTATAGAGGGTCGCTATTAGTTGAACCGACTCAAAGGCACTTAACAGCAACAACAACGTCCCACCCTTAATCCTCTAACTGGTTTATCCCATCTGATCATATCATGGGGGACCATCACATAACTGCCAAATCCTTAAGAAGCAAGGTTCCACTTGGTGGGTTCAAACCACCAACGTTTTGATTTATTAATTGTAGCAGTTGTACCACCCATCCTACCTAGACATAGGTGGACCCTACCTAGACACATATCATTATATATTGTTATTGTTGTAATGTGTCGTGGAGTCAGTTCAGACTTATAGCGACCCTGAACAGGGTTTCTGAGGCTGTTAATCTTTACGGGAGCAGAATGCCTCATCTTTCTCCCGCGGAGCAGCTGGTAGTTTCGAACTGCTGACCTTGTGGTTCGCAGCCCGATTCGTAATCGCTACACTACCAGAGTAATATTTATAGGAGTTGAACACCACGTCATTTCCCCTAGTAGACCTGCTGGTAGTGTTACAGCAGTTTTTGATATGAATGTGTTACAACAGCTTTAGATCCGAGAGTTTTACAGCATCTTTTAGATCCATCACTGAAGAAACCAAGGCCACTTGGAGAGGTGAAGCAGAGTTTCAGATTATATTAAGCAGGCTGGCTCAGAGGAGCTAACTTCTCCAGATTCTGAGTCCCAAGTACAGGGCAGTGCAGGCTTATATGGGGTCAGAATCGGAGAGGGCTAGTGTCGGGGACCCGCCTCGACATTGGGGTTCAGTTC